ACAGTCTATTGTAGAGAACAGGGTGCTACCTGGACAGCTGGGCCTGTGAGGAACAGCACCAAAAAGTCCATCAGCCATTAGCAGTGAGGTGGTTCTTCAAGCCTGAGTCCATGTGTCTCTTGGCTTGTGTCAGTTCTCCCCAGTCTCCAGACCAAGGGGCTCCTGGGATCAGATCTCAGAGGCAATAAGGGTGTCCTTGGCAGGAAATGCAGGAGTGCAGCCAAGATGCTCCCTGCATCACACACCCAAGACAGTGTGCCACAGACGCCACACCCACGATAGCCCAGGGTTCTGCTCCTCCAGGCTCACAGGTGCTGAGTAAGCTGTTATGTTTTCCGTACGTCCTACCTAAGGAGTCTCACACTTGGGTCTAGCCACCATCTAGTCTCAGGTTGGACTCCCAGTCTCCCATCCATTCTGAGCTGATTTCTGAAGGCCTGGCTACATGAGCGGATCCCTGACTTCAGGGTACCATGGCTGGAGGCAAAGAGCAGCCCAGACCCGAGTCTGGTCTCTCTAAACATGCCTGAGCCTAAGACAGGGGCTGGAGGAGTGTGGGTGAGCATGTAACATCTGGGCCTGGGAGTGCCAGAGAGAAAGAAACTGCTCTACACACATACACACAGACACGTGTGCACAAGCACACATATCAGATGCTTATGCACATATGCATAGGACACGCATGTGTGAACACATGTGCACAAATATCAATATACATGCCTGTACATGTATATATAAGGTGTGAGTGTGTGTGTGTGTGTGTGTGTGTGTGCACGCATGCGCACGTACGTATGAGAATTTGTGGAAAGAAACTACATCTGCAGAGGCTGATTGACTGATCTGAACCAGGAAAGTGGATAGATTCAGAGCCTAATTACAACTTACCTTGGGCTATCTTTAGTCCCTAAATAGCCCACCTCTGCGGCAGGCCTAACATTCTTGGACTAGCAGATAAAACCTCTGGAGTGCGTTAATTCAGCAGCCTGCTAGCTCCCACCAATCCAAAAGTTAAGGACTTCATCAGACGGCACCCGGGGCCTGTAACTAAGATGTCTCAGCTTTGGTGTGACCTCCCGACTCCGATAGACCAAACAATGTATTTTAAAAGCATCTTGATTTATGACTTTGTCTGTTACTCTAGAAACTTGATGAAGCTGCCTCCACGTTGGAAAGTGTGAGCATAAATCTGTGTTTGCAGGGCCACAGTCACTCAAATTTGGCTCCAGAATAAACTCTCTTATTCCCTTGGAGAGGAGATTTTTGCTTCAAGAGTATGAATAACGGTGTGTTCCTTATGTACACATGTGTGCAACATGTACACCCACATACAAACATATTCATAAACATTAATGCATGCAGACATGCTGATGTCAGACATAAATATAGGTGCACATGCATACAACATGCATGTACACATATGTATATAAGAACGTGAATATATAAACAAATATCCACACCAGCCAGAAGCATGTGTGTGTATGTATATATATGTGTGTGTGTGTGTATGTGTACAAATATACATACATGCATACATATATATACATTTTATATGTGAGTGAGTATGTGTATGTGTGTGTTTCACACAGGCACACACACAGGGCAGGTACATGCATGTGGGCACGTATACATATGACACGGGTGTGTATAAAAGTATATATAAATGTGAATATATAAATAAATATCCATACCAGCCAGAGGTGTATGTACATATGTGTGTATGTGTGCGTGTTATCATACATATATATACAGTTTTATATATATGTAATATATATGTATGTGTGGGTGTATGTGTGTGATACAGGTGCACACACAGGGCAGGTACATACATGTGGGCACATATGCTTATACACTCAAGCACTCGCACTCATGAATTGTGAACTGGGTACAGAAGCCACTGGCAGAGCCATTGATGGCCATCCCCGAGTGATCGGCGGCAAAGAGATGGAGGGCACAAGGATCCACACAGATACAAAAGAATGACCGAATAGATAAGCACGGGGCAAACATCCCCACAGAAGTTCAAAGAAATATGAGTGCCATCCCTTCACGGCAGAGTTCCCCAGGCTTGAAGCGCAGTAGCATACTGTGACATTGCTCCAAAGACAGTGTCGAGGCTGCACGTGCCCATCTGACCCTCCCTGGGGCGGTGCCCTTGATCGGTTGGTTGAGTCAGAGTCTGCTGGGATGCTGTGTCTGGGACTGAGGTGGATTCTGTAATGAGACACACACTCTGTCTATGCTTCCTCCTCACGCCATGATCCATCTCCTCTCAACAATGCACAGGCCCTGGCCGGGATCCTTGGGACCACGGGAGGAATGAGGGGATGGACCATGGAATGTCCTGAGGAAGGGACAAAGAACACTGTGTAAAGATTAAGGAAACCTCAATAAAGTACAGACACGGGTTGACAGAGTGACTCACCAACATGGTTCACGTACAAATGCACCACAGCACGGGAGTGTGGGAGAGGCACTCGGGGAGTGGGGGTGTCTCTTATACTGACTGGACCACTTTTCCATACCATAAAACTCTCAAAAAAATCAAAGCTTTACATGGCTGGGGGTGTAGCTCACTTAGTAGAGTGCTAGCCTAGTATACAAGAAGGCCTGGGTTCCTGCCCCAGCAGCGCATAAACTGGGTATGGTGGTACATGTCTATAATCCTAGCATGTGGGAAGTAGAGGCAAGAGAATCAGGAGTTCAATGCCATTCCCAGTTATCATAGGTTCAAGGCCAGCCTGAGACACATAAGAGCCTGTCTCCAGTAAATCCCCCAATAAATTAATATTTTGTTTACTTAAAAATGGGCTGGAATGTTGGCTCAGCAGCTAAGAGCATTTGTTGTTCTGCATAGGACCAGGGTTTGGGTCCCAACACCTACATGATAGTTCACAACTCTGTAATTCCAGTTCCAGGGGATCCTACACCCTTTTCTGATCTAGGAAGGCAGTTAAGTAAAAACTTGTAAGGTGAAGAAGTGCCCAGCTTCCTGGGGCTGTCAGAGAAACAGCAGCCAGGGCTAATGGGGACAGGGTGGATACACATCCAGGGGCTGCGGAAGGACCAAGAACAGATAAACACAAGAGAGCAGCCATGTGGGTCTTCATCTCTCTGTCTGATAGATGACAGACAGTCAGACAGACAGACAGACAGACAGACAGACAGGCACAGACAGACAAGCAGGCAGGCACAGTCAGGTAGGCACAGACGGACGGATGGACGGACAGACGGATAATTCTCAGCAAGAGGCTAAGGAGCCAGCAAGTGGCTACTGCTTCCATCCTATTGGTCAGAATGATGTCGCATGGCCAAATCTTACTGCTTGGGATACTGGAATATGGGGTCTTTCTTCTAGGTAGCCATCTTGTCACTGAAATAAATAAATATAAATAAATAAATATAAATAAATAAATATATATAAAGTGTATTTACGTGTAGCTTGAAAGTTCTGCCCAGTGTAAGGCCCTGACCCCTCCACAGTCTATAGGTCGTTGAAGACCCACCCACCCCATCTCCCAGCTCAGGAAACTCCCTCACTTTCATGTCATCTCTTTGCCAGGAAGACTCCTTGTCCCTATCTACCGTATCTTTTAGGTCCCAGCACATGGCATTGGTCTCACAGGAGTCCTCAGGGCTGTGACCCAATGCTAGTGGGCCTGAAAGCCTTGCATGCTCTCCTGAGCAGCCCAAAGTTCCTCCTCAGCCAGCACCCACTTGTGTGTGCCTCGCACAAGTATCTCCCTGCCAGGGAAGGAGCCACGGTTCCAAGTCCAGTTCCTTGGTGTCATGTAGCCCCAAGATCCTCAACCTCCGGTGTGCAGAACCATCATCAAATCTGATGTCTGGGAAGAATTCAGAAATCGTGTCTCTGTAGGTCTGAGCGGGAACCTGTGTCCTGTGGGTGCTGGTGTACCCTGGCAGAGGCTTCTGATGGCTCTGTGTCACACCATGCAGGGTGATCACTTGCTGACCTGTGTCTGCATGGAGCAGGAGTCAGGAGGAAGGCTGCTGGTGGATCTGCAGTTCGGGACGTTCTCATGACTCACCCCAGTTGTTTCCTATTCTTTCTCCCAAACCTGCACACCTTGCACATAGGCTGCCTCTCGCCTGGGCCACCCCCACCATGTCTGACTCCAGACATCCACTCCTTCAGACCCACCACTTGCACCATGTCTGATTCACCACACCCTAGAGGTCCTTACAAGAGCAAGGAGAAGGATCCCAGGCTGGGGTGCCCTGTGGGCAAGACTTGGGGTCCTGGGTTCAGTGCAGACCTAGACCCTGCAGCTGATCCTGCAGACCCTCTCCCAGTTCTGCCTAGGGACACACACTCCACCAAGGCCTCCTAGCATCGGTGGATGGAGAGGCGGCTGTGGTGGTCTGAATGGGACTTCAGACTCGAAATGAGGGGCATTATGGGAGGTATGGCCTTGTTGGAGGAAGTGTGTCACAGGAGGTGGGCTTTAAGGTTTCAGAAGCTCAAGTCAGGTGCAGTGGCTCACTCTCTCTTCCTGCAGCCTGCCAAGCAGGGTGTAGTTCTCTCAGCTACCTCTCCAGCACTGTGTCTGCCTGCCTGCATGCTGCCTTGCTTCCCGACCTGACGATATTGGACTAACGCTCTGAACTGTAAGCCAGCCCTGGTTAAATGCTTTATAACAGTTGCCGTGGTCATGGTGTCTCTTCACAGCAATGAAACCCTAAGAAAGAGGCCCATTTACCCTGCCCCTGGCTGGGTTCTGTGAGATCAGAGGAGTTATGCAGACTGGGATTATAGGGTTAGTTCCAGATGAAAGTCTACCTTCTAGGCTCTGAGCCCAAGGGCTCCCTCTTCCCCAGGAAGGACACTAAAGGATAAAAGGACAAACAAAGACAACCAGGGGCCTCTGTTAGAGATAAAAGCCACCCCAGCATCACACACTCTTCATGTGCAAAGTCTAGGCCAGTTACCGCCCATCTCTGAAGATGCACAGGATAAGAGGCCTGTCTGACCCTGGGACTTTGCTCCACTCCTGGCCTGAGCTGTCTGAGAGCCGGTCATGGGACACTCAGCTGTCCTCCTCTCCGTGGCTCTGGCCATTCTCCCAGCTTGTGTTACTGGGGCCCCTGTCCAAAGGCAGCATAAGCTACTCCTTGTATCCTTTGATGGCTTCCGCTGGGACTATGACCAAGACGTGGACACCCCTAACCTGGACGCCATGGCTCAGGAAGGAGTGAAAGCTCGGTACATGACTCCTGCCTTTGTCACCATGACCAGCCCCTGCCACTTTACACTGGTCACCGGTGAGTGTCAGCCTCAGGATGGGCCTTGGTAATGGAAGGGGCCTAAGACATCGGGTGGCAGAGGGGTGGCACCCTGGTCGAAGGTAAGAGGTCAATGCTCTGAGGAGACCCTCCAAGTGAGATCGAGAGCCCAGACAAGGGACTTTTAGGTGTCCTCTGTTCATGGGTCCTGGTCAAGGGCTTGTTCCACAGCTGTCCCAGGGGAATGGTGTGCCACAGGACTTTTCGGTGATTGTGAGCTCACAAGCCCCTTCCTTAGGCTTACTCCACACATGTCCCGCCCCTCCCTTTGCTTCCCCACTCAGGCAAATACATTGAGAACCATGGGGTGGTCCACAACATGTTCTACAATACCACCACCACGGTGAGGCTGCCCTACCACACCACACTAGGTATTGAGAGGTGGTGGGACAACGGCAGCATACCCATCTGGATCACAGCCCAGAGGCAGGTAAGATGACCCGCCCAAAGAGAGATGGAGGCTATGACCAAGTGAGGTCATGCACGGGCATCCTGGCCTCCCAGCATAGAAGGCTGCTGGAGAGGGGGCTGATGAGGACTCTGCAGGCAGCCATCGGAGCTCAGCTGTGGCCCAAGGCCTTCATGTCCTGGACTTTCTCTGTTCTATCCAAGAAAGGGAGACCAGAGCTAAGAGTTGGTAGAGTGCTTGCCTGGCATTATGAAACTCTGGGTTCTCGCCTCAGTCCCAGAAAAAGCGGGGCATGGTGGCTCACACCTAAAACCAGCACTTGGGGAGTAGAGGCAGGAGGATCAGGGGTCCAGGGTCATCCTTGGCTACATAGTGAGTATGAGGCCAGCCTCGGGTAGGCAAGACCCTATCAAGAAAGAAGGGAAGATAGAAAGGAAGGAGTGAAGGAGATAGATAAGGGGAAGGGGAAGGAGGAGGGAGAAGGGAAGAGGGAAGTGGGGTGGGGGGAAGCAGGCCATGTCCTCAGGCCCTTTGACACTAGAGAAGAAGATCGAATTCACACAGGGTAGATAAGGAAATTCTGGGGGAAGATGAGTTTCCAGTTCCACCACTGGGCAGCTGGACACTAAAGAGCCATAGATTAGCCAGGCGGTGGTGGCACACGCATTTAATCCCAGCACTTGGGAGGCAGAGCCAGGCGGATTTCTGAGTTTGAGGACAGCCTGGTCTGCAGAGTGAGCTCCAGGACAGCCAGGACTACACAGAGAAACCCTGTCTCGAAAAATCAAAAAAAAAAAAATGAGCCAAAGATTAAACAGAAAGCGGGGTGTAGTGTTAAGCCCAGGAATCGACACAATTTTTGTTGCCCTGGGGCAATGTGAAGCTTTTAATCAGTGAGGTCAAAAGGATGGTTTCCAGGTGGGCAAGAACCACCTCAACCCACGCCCACGTTTCCACTTCCACTGAGTGGCTGCCGCCTGTCACGTGGCACTCTGTCCTCCAGTTCCAACGTGAGAACTCAGCTTCCCCTGACCCTCCATCCAGAGGAGAAAATGGGGGAGTAGACAGGAACTGGACAGGAACCACAGGCTCATGTAAACAAGGACCAGCTAGAACAGGCAGCAGGGATTTATGGGAAGATGACAAGTTCATGGGACAAAGTGGACAGGGAAGAAGAGAGTGAAGGGAGGCCCGAGGACAGCTGGACCCCGAGGCGGGGGTGCTAAAGGGCATAACACTGGGGACATTTCCCATCTAGCCTCGGTTAGTGCTTGCAGACACTGGGTGCTTGTCCTCTGGACGAACCATGCCTGCCCCAATCTGTGAGATAGGATCCGCTTCAGAGTACAAAAGGCCTCAGGGCGGTGGGCAAGGAGGATGAGGGAGCTCAGACAGAGAAGCAGGCAGGCTCGGGTCGGTGGGCAAAGGAAGATGAGGAGCCCTGGACCCCCTCATTCTGCAGGGCTTGAAAACCGGCTCCTTCTTCTACCCCGGTGGGAACGTCAGCTACCAAGGAGAGGCCGTGACGGTGAGCCGGAAGGAAGGCGTCTTACACAACTACAAAAATGAGACAGAGTGGAGGAGCAATGTGGACACGGTGATGAAGTGGTTCACGGAGGACGATGTCACCCTGGTCACTCTCTACTTTGGGGAGCCAGACTCCACTGGCCACAGGTACGGCCCTGATTCCCAGGAGAGGAAGGACATGGTGAAACAGGTAGACAGGACCGTGGGCTACCTCCGGGACAGCATCAAGAGCCACAACCTCACAGACCGCCTCAACCTGCTCATCACATCTGACCACGGTATGACAACCGTCAAGAAGAATGCCAGCGACCTGGTGGAGTTCCACAAGTTCCCCAATTTCACCTTCCGGGACATCCATTTTGAACTCTTGGACTACGGGCCCAGTGGGATGCTGATCCCTAAGGAAGGGATGCTGGAGAAGGTTTACAATGTTCTCAAGGATGCCCACCCCAGGCTGCATGTGTACAAGAAGGAGGACTTCCCGAAGAACTTTCACTACGCCAACAACCCCAGGATCACGCCCCTGCTCATGTACAGTGATCTCGGCTATGTCATCCACGGGGTCAGTGGGCTGCTGCAGCCTCTGGGTGGCCCCCAGTTCTGTCTAGCCCCTGGTGTGATATGTCAGCCACCCAAGGGACACACTCAGCACTGTACAACAGGAGTGTGTGTGTGTGCGTGTGTGTATGTGTGTGGTGTATGAGTATATAAGTATGTATGTGTGTGTGAGGTGTGGTGTATGTGAGTGTATAAGTGTGTGTGAGAGAAAGTGTGTATGGTGTGATGTGTGTGA